TGTCCTGGGTTTAGCAGTGGCAGTCATTTTTCTCTTTCTTGGTAGCTGGTGCAGTGCTGTGTTTTGACTTTCAGCTGGGAACAGAGCTGAAAAACAATGATGTTTTGGTTTGGCCAAGGACTTTGTGGGCCTCATGCTCTGCCAGGGAGGAGGGGAGCCGGGAGGAAGCAGAGACAGGACACCTGACCCAAACTGACCAAAGAGGTATTCCATACCACAGCACGTCATGCCCAGGATGTAACTGGGAGTTAGCCGGAAGGACTGAGTGGACTGCAGGGTTGGAGGAGGTATCGGTCGGTGCTTCGTCGGGCTGGGGGGAGCAAGTTATCGGTCGCCTGGTGATGGGGTGTTGTATTCTCTTCCCTTGTTATTTCCTTTATCATTACTATTATTGGTGGCAGCAGTAGTGATTTGTGTTATACCTTAGTTACTAAACTGTTCTTATCTCAACCCATGGGAGTTGCATTCTTTCTGATTCTCCTCTCCGTCCCTCCAGGAGTAGGGGGAGGGCAAGAAAGGGGGGGGAGTGGGTAACAAGCTGTCTGGCTGTGGGTTAAACCACGACAGTTCTTTTTGGCGCCCAACGTGGGGCACGAGGGGTTGAGATAACGACAGATCTGACCGTCACAATGATGATTTATTGGATCTCAGAGATTCAGAATGTTGTAAGTTACTTAGAGCCGGTATTTGCTGTGTTAGTGTTTATCAAGTGTGGGGCTTGGGCTAAGGTTCTTGTCTCACTGTACTTTATGGCAATGACTTGTAATACGGGCGAGCTCCAGCAGCAGGGCGGGACGGACGTGGCCGTGGACTGGTACCTGGCCCTCCGGCTGCTCTTCACCGTCCTGGCCCTCGCCCTCGCCTCCGTCTGCGTGAGGCTCTGGGGAGCCGAGGGGGGGCGGCCCCGGGAGCCGGCGGCTGCTGAAGCGGCCCGGGAGAGCGGCCCCGGGGACCGAGCGGGAGCGGGACCGGAGGCCGCGCGGGGACGGCTGCCGGTGGAGGAGGTCGGGGCGGTCGAGGAGCGGGAGGAGGCGGCTGCCGAGCAGCGGGAGAAGGCGGCGGAGGAGCCGAGCCCCGCAGAGGAGCCGAGCCCCGCGGCCGAGCCCAGCCCCGCGACGGCCGAGAGCATTCCCCGGAAGCCGCCCGCCGAGCCCCAGGAGGACGCAGGAGACCCCGCAGCATTTCCCAGCAAGGCAGAGGAGGAAGAGCTGGACTCAGGAAAAGAGAAGCTGGTGGTGGGAGAGCCGGCAAGCACAGCAGCTGCACCAGCCCCAGTGACAAGTACAGCAGCATCGTTTGAGAGTTCTGGAGGTTTTGAATGGCCTTTGGGTAACCTTGGGACCTGCCTGCTGATTGTGATGGTGTTCACTATGTTGGCACACATGCAGAGTGTGTTTTACCCACCACCATTGTGTCTGATCCCAAAATTTAAGCAGAGTCGGGTTTGGGTCTTGTCTGGGGTTAGACAACAATATGGGAGGACCAAGAGGTTTTCCCCAAGGCTGGACAGCCATGAGTGGCAGGGCATGTGGGACAGTATGGGCAAGTATCTAGTCCACTGGGCCCCTCCAGTGCTTTGGAAACATTGGAGATGGAAGGACAATGAATTATTTTAAATCTGGTGGGCCCATGACCTTTAAGGCCAACAGAGCAGAGATGCAACATAGAGATGGACTCATGATCAAGGGGTGGACCTAACAATGGACACTACTGCCCAGGTTATTCATGTGTGTGAACACTGCACACAGCCTCTCCTGCTCTGAAAGACTGTTACAAGAGATGGAGCCTGGCATCATGGACTAGATGGACTCAGCAGCTTTATAGGGACTAGTCTTTGCACTAAGATAGAAGTGCACTGAGATCGGAGTGAGGGTATATTGAAAATGTGGGATCTGAGCATGACGTGAATGGTATGGAATAAGGGGTGGATAATGTCCTGGGTTTAGCAGTGGCAGTCATTTTTCTCTTTCTTGGTAGCTGGTGCAGTGCTGTGTTTTGACTTTCAGCTGGGAACAGAGCTGAAAAACAATGATGTTTTGGTTTGGCCAAGGACTTTGTGGGCCTCATGCTCTGCCAGGGAGGAGGGGAGCCGGGAGGAAGCAGAGACAGGACACCTGACCCAAACTGACCAAAGAGGTATTCCATACCACAGCACGTCATGCCCAGGATGTAACTGGGAGTTAGCCGGAAGGACTGAGTGGACTGCAGGGTTGGAGGAGGTATCGGTCGGTGCTTGGTCGGGCTGGGGGGAGCAAGTTATCGGTCGCCTGGTGATGGGGTGTTGTATTCTCTTCCCTTGTTATTTCATTTATCATTACTATTATTGGTGGCAGCAGTAGTGATTTGTGTTATACCTTAGTTACTAAACTGTTCTTATCTCAACCCGTGGGAGTTGCATTCTTTCTGATTCTCCTCTCCGTCCCTCCAGGAGTAGGGGGAGGGCAAGAAAGGGGGGGGGAGTGGGTAACAAGCTGTCTGGCTGTGGGTTAAACCACGACAGTATCTATATGCAGGATGAAAAAAAAACCCCTGCCTCTCTTTTAAGTACCAGAACTGATTCTCTAGGTGATTGTGCTGCTAATAGTTTACTTGAAAAAACTCCAAAGGCCTGATCATTTTTGTCAGGGGAGGTCTATACGATGCCACTTCATATCCCAAATGAAACTTTCAGTCCATAATTTAATATTTTGTGGTTTTATTTTTAATCTAAGTAATTTGAGTTATTTAAGCCTTAAATTACATCTGTAGTATGCAGTTTCTTGTGTAATTGCTTTAAACTGCAGATCCAATATACTTAACTTTGGTTGGCTGGTTTATTTCTATTACGAAACCTCCACCACCAAAATCTTGTAAGGAATTCAGAGACAAGATAAAGCAGTATAAAACTTACACAGCAGTTGTTGGCACTATTTACAACATGGAGCTTATTCAGTATATGCAAGCATTACATTTTGTATTTGAAATATATGGGGGGAACCCTTGTGTAAAATAAAGTTGGAAATTGGTTAAAGAAAACAAGAGAATCTATCTTCCATCATGGCTTCTTCTTTTTATAGCTGTAATGACTGAGGTTTTATAACATCTTTTGGGAGAACATTAGGTTTCTTCACTACTATCAAACACCTACCAGGAGATTACAGTATTGCCAGAGCAATTGCTTCATTTTTGTTCCTGAAGCAGCCTATTCCATTGAAACTATTAATTTGAACACTGTGATATAAGCGCTTTTCAGAATCCTTAGTAATCATCATCACTGACAGCCATCTGAAAGCTGGAACAACTGTCCATCTTAGAGACACAGCTTTTGGATATGAACTCTTAAAACAAAAATCAGCTGGAACAAAGGACACTTCCTGCTGGGGATACCACAAAAGCATGTCTACAATAAAAAATAACTGTCAATCAGTATCTCTGGCACACTTTCTAGATGCATAGTAAAAATAGTTAATTTAAAGGGAAAAAAATACTTAGAAAACTTCCATAAGCTAATTAGATTGTAAGCATCATGATTCCTTCAGTTTCACTGTTTATTTTGAAACTTACCTATCAGTACCAGACAATTTATTCCTTAGTTTTATGCTGGATAAAAATGACACTATGAATTTCCTGTAACATTATGAAACTCGGAGAAAATAATGAAAAGTATGTAAAAATTATATTAACAGATATTTCTGCAGGACTTTAAAAAAAGATAATAACAAGATACGGAAGAATGGCACTGTTGTCACATGAAAGGGCAGAGTAGAGATGAATTCATAACATGCTTTCATAATAAACCAAACATATTTTAAAAAGAATGGCACATTTAACATTTTTTAAAGCACAATGTGAAGAATTGCTTTTAACTTGGTGTAAGTCTGAAGTACATAGTAAAACCAGGAAGGTTTTGATAGTAGCCTTTAGTATCACGACATACCCTCCTGAACATTGTATTACACATTTTAACACACACACAGGCATTTTAGGGCAAAACTGAAGTCACAAAATAAGCATTTGGACCTGTTCCATAAATTTCCTCTTGAGAGCCAAGAGACTAAATGCAGTATGTTTCTGTCTTCTACAGTATAGATTCAAAATCATGTTACCTATAAAATACAGCACTTTAAATTGATGAAATAGCTGCAGCCCAGTTATGATTCTGTTGCTCAGATCTATCCTATCTGATGTTTGAGAATAGGTTCTAGCCTCAGAAAACTGCATAAATACTTTACATATTTTTACCTTGTCTGGCTTGTAAGCTTAAAGCCAACTATAGATTCCTTATTCAGGCCAACTGCTTCAATGTTGATGATATCATCCACTTCTGGCTCCAAAGCAATGAACAGAACTGGAAACTTCCAAATACCTCCTGCAGTGTACTGTACTACAAGAGTTGCTTCATTCCTTAAAATTTCAGATAGAATAATACATGGAAAAACATTATAAAACATAAACTGAGTAAATGTCCAAAATAAACTTTGAGTGTGTAAAACTATACTACAGTAAAATGAAAATACAGATAGCTTTAGCTGGAATACATTCTTAATTTTTCATGGTATAGTATGTACCAGTTGCACTTAGACTGGAACATAGACTAAATAGTACTCAATATTTGCAGCAAAATACAAGAAAGAACATAATAGTAAAGCAAAATAATTGGCACACCCATGACATTTGTTTCTTCTGCTTACTCTCTGTTGAGTTAAACAAATTTAACTCAATATTTTTACTTATTATTCTTTATGTACTGTGTCAGAGAATTTTGTCCAGAATATTTCAACAGTTCATACTGGAATCAAATATATCTGACAAAGGTTCATGTCCTTTAGAAAAATTTCAGACTCTAATCTCCTCAGACCCTCTAAGAAGAAAGCTGGTGCTGTAGATTTTGAGATAAAGAACCTAATTAATTGTAGTTATTGAGTCCTCTACATGAAGCCTGATAAGTCTCAAGCACAAAATGATAAAAAAAACCAAAATAATAAAATAAGGAAGGAAAGTGTAGAGATAAAACAGTTTTCTAAATTGACAGTACATGGGCTGAGTGGATAGTCATTCCTAAAGGTTTGCTTCTTGTTCGGTTGTCTTTTGGACTAGTGGAAATAAGCGCTCCCTCCTGCATCCTAAAAATGCTCTCTTTGCTTGCAACCTATAATATTCGGCAGTGACTGCTCCCTAATCTTCCTCATAATGTTGAGCATCTGAAATTATCATGTGCCTGCAAGTTACTGAATCTTCATTCCAACTTCCCATACACATCTGACTGCTTCAACAGGAATGTGCAACTTCTTTCTCTCTGAAAGGATCCCCCTTTCACAGCTTCTTTTCAAAGAGGTGGGAAAATAATGTAAATCAAAGCAAATCTGTAATTTTTCACATCACAGCTATAAAAGAGGATAATATTTTCCTGTGGACTGTTGTTACTGGGGATGTAGAGACTAATTTCAAATTCAACAATCCCATTCAGCCAAAGAATATGCACACATGCTTTCTAGGAAAACTTTTTCAAGACTGATAGACCATCTTGTCTGCGTAATTTCTATGAATTTTAAGAACAACTACATTTTATTGAAAGTCTTTCAATACTCCAATGTTTAGAAATAAATTGATGCACACACAGACTAATGCAGTAACTCAACAGAGCCATCTCACAGACAGCAAAAAGAAACACTGTCAGTTTTAATACCAAAGATACCATACTGAGAAGCAGCAAGTGAGAAAACTTACAATAATAGATCTTTGAGGTGAAAACAAAATGAAGAAAAAAATGCAGGGTGATGCCTACATAGCTAAGAGTGACCATGCAGTATTTTATTACATATTCACTTGGTAATAAGGAACAACAGCTTACCTCATTGGTTTGTTAGGTGCAAACACTATATTAAACACCAGCGTTGCAATTCTGGATTCTGTATCCCATTCTCTTTCAACAAGATGCATACCAACCAAAGATTCGAGCTGAGATTTAATTTCATTTGATTGATATTGCAATTCATACAGAAATTCCTCTGTTGTAGAGAAATCTAAATGATACAAGAGAAAAAAATATCAGTCTGTGCACACCCTAGCATCACACAGTTGGCTGGCTAGTAGCTACAATTCTTTAATTACTAAAAATGACAAGTAAACCCACTAGATATCCAAAGCTCGAGTGATTTGCTCCTGATGGCATAACAAAAACTTCCAGTTTCATATGGCAGACTATATTGTTTCCAGCAAAATGAAAGCTGAAAAACTTACTTAGGAGATGTGACCAGTAGTCGCAATATTGTTCTGGCAACCACTTCTGCATTATGGTGACCTACTTCTAGTGCATCAGTCAAATGAAAATTGCATGAATGTAAGCCATTTGACTAATGCTGCTGGGGAAAATCTCAAAAACAAAACAAACAAAAAACAACAACAACCCCAAAACCAAACAAAACCCCCCAAAACAAACTGCGGAGACAGTGTTCTCACAGGAGAATGGATACTTGGTACATAAAGTCTGAATAATCCTGAAAGATACAGCAAGGCCATGAGAGGCCTGAGGAAGCCTAAACAAGAAAGGTAAGAAGAAGCTGGAATTCACCAAGATAATGAGAACTGTGGACTGTTGGCAAGCTTTCGAGGTCAAGTTCTCACACCTGTGCTTAACCAATTATATGTTAGCCACTAAAGGTCTTCCAGATATGTATCCAATCGTAATATGCCAAATCACTGTAAGTGCATGTAAGAAATAGTATATAAGGGGTTAAGGCTTTGTAATAAATGGCTTTTGTCTGATCATATTTATCTCTGACTGGGTCCATATATTTTCTGTGGCAACAAACAATATTAATGACATCAGTGCCATTGATGGCTGCGTGCCTGAGAAACAGAATACAGAAAACTAGTGAGGATGTCACTAGGAGCCTCTTTTTATTTCCTGTAGAAGCTATGAAAAGGCCAAGTAGCAATGACATAAGAATAAACATCTGAGTTTCTTGAAGCAAGTGTCTCCTCCTGTGATATTCAGCATACAATAGTAATTTGTGCACAGAAGGGAACATTTCTATGAGGAAAACAATCTCAAGTGGCTAATTTATTTAAAAGTTTTACACATTTTTTATGGACAAAAAATCTTTTAACACATTCACAAAATCATACAGGAGATTCCGTTTTATTATGACCATGTATCTCAGGGCACATTTTTAATTTGCACAGCTTAATAGAATGTGTGCTGTGCGTAACTCCCATGTATGCTTCCCTGTATACGTTTGCTGGGTATAGGGTGGTAGAGATAATTCCCAAGCCCTTCCAACTTGGAATTCTAAAGTACAGACTACATATATAAAAATTCCAAAAGACAATGCAGTTTTAGATAGTTGAACAAAGATTACTTTGATTTTGCCAAACTGTAATGCTACCCAAGTTTTAGTATGGAGCTGTCTTCTTACGCTTGTGGTCCTTTATCCTTTTCTGAAATGTACATATACCTTCTTTCTACTTCATTACTAACAAGCAGCTTGAACTTTTGTTGCCAATATTATTGTTACACAGATTAACCATATTAAATTTTGCAGTTTCTATTGAAACATTTCCAACTTTAAAATGGATCCTTCACACAGACACATGTACAATTTATGCTTTATTATAATAAATGTACTTTGTAATAATGAAATGAAACGTGAACTTTTTTACATTTAATAAAATTCCTGAGATCATCCTATATTATTCCATGCTTTGTTGTTTCTCTATTTGAAAAATACAACATTTATGCCATGCATTCAGATTCCAACACAGACCAAAGCTTGAAGTAGTCACCCTAGACAAATACCAAAGCATGGAGATTCAGACATAAAAATTAACTTATCATGGGAGAGAAAAGATGACATCATTTGGGACTTTCCACAGTGACAAAATCACAACTGTTCAGGAGATGTGTCTTTTAGCAGTTATATCGCACAATGCTACTCAGGACAAACTTATATTCGGATGTGCTAGGAAGAAAATATTGTGAATTCCATGCTGCTTGTAGTATTCAAAGACATTTGGTTTTGGTTTGATATATGCATATACCATGTTTTAGTGAAAAGCAATTAAATATTTATTTTTTTTCAGCTTCAGGCTGTTTTGTAACTTGTTCCATGCACATATTAAGTATTTAGTTAAAATATTTTAACATTTACAACAGCTAAGGAAAGATGATGCATTTATAAGTGTCAATATTTGAAAGCCTCATTATGCTGCTCACTTAGCTGGTTTTGATCTGCACTGCTGATTTCATTTAGGACTGTTCAAGAAAGAAAAATGTAATGAGATTTTTACCACAGCTGCCCTGAGGACTACTATATTACCATACTATGGGAAGCCTCTATGAATATGTTAATATTTGATTCTAGAGAATTCCACAGTACACATTCTGCCTAAACAAATTGGAAGAAACTAGAGCACTGGAGACAGAATTAATATTTTCTTTAAAGTAATGTCAAACACAATATGGCATATGGTTCAAATATGCCTTGATGCTTTGCCATGGTTTAAGCCCAGCCGGCAACCCAGAACCACGCAGCTGTTAGCTCACACCCCCCCCTTCCTCCCCTCCATTCCCAGAGGGATGGGGAGGAAAATCAAAAGAATGTAACTCCCATGGGTTGAGATAAGAACAGTCCAGTAACTAAGGTATAACACAGATCACTGCTGCTACCACCAATAATAATAATAATGATAAGGGAAATAACAAGGGAAGAGAATACAACTGCTCACCACCTGCCAACTGATACCCAGCCCAACCTCGGCAGTGATCTGACCCTTCTGGATAACTGCCCCCAGTTTATATACCAGGGATGACGTGCTGTGGTATGGAATACCTCTTTGGTCCATTTGGATCAGGTGTCCTGTCTCTGCTTCCTCTCGGCTTCCCCTCCTCCCTGGCAGAGCATGGGACTCACAAAGTCCTTGGTCAGAGTAAACATTAGTGAGCAGCAACTAAAAACATCAGTGTTATCAGCGCTGTTCCCAGGCTGAAAGTCAAAACCACAGGACTGCACCAGCTACTAAGAAGGAGAAAAATGACTGCTACTGCTGAACCCAGGACACCTTTTTAGCCCAGCAATTTGCATGTCTTCATTCACCAGTTTTCTTTTAAAAATCCTCCGGTTTAGTCCAGGTAAAATTTTTATTTTCTCTCATGCAAACTGAAAAATACACATGCAGATATAAAGTATACCCCAATTAATCCACCTCTGTTCTCTAAACAGAGAGCAGCAGGAAGAGTTTTAGCCGCATCTGACACAACATAGATATGTTTATCAATCCGAACACTGGGAAATTATAAGCAAACTATTTAAACACATCTTGGTACATCTAGGGAATGGAAATTGCTATTATAAATATATTACTTTTTCATATTTCCTGAATAATATTATGCATTATTTAAGTGAGAAAAATGCAAAGAATATGGGAGGTTTTTTTCAGGTAATTGTTCCAAGACAATTTTTTTTTAAATCATTAAATATTTTTTTTTTGTTTTGCAAGGCAATGCATCTCAGTCTTTAAGTGTTTTCCTTTCTGTAAATAAAAACTTCCAAAGGGTAGCATGCTTTTACACAACATTTATGTATGCAGGATTACTGAAGCAGCTATGTTTAAAAGACAAACTATTTCTTCATAGCTCCATTCAGCACTCATTTGACACTTGGCCTTTTCCTGCTTTTGCACTGTCTTCCATGAGTCTTCACACACACTGCTGGAACTCAGCAGGCAGAAGGGAATGAACATTAAGTATGCAGTTATGCATTACCACCAAAAGCAGCATCAGATAGAATACATTACTGTGGAGTAGATTAGATCATTTTAATACAGTTTTCAAGTAAATATTCAAGTGAGTAGCAAAAGTGAATCACAAGAGTAATAAAGGAAAAAAATAAAAGGAAGCTTAGTGGTCAAGAACATCTTAACATTTAAGTAGATGGTATCATCTGGGTGGTAAGAAATGAATCTTGTATGAGAAGCAAATACCTACTTTTTGCTATAAAATGTCATAATACCACAATATCATCAGCAAAATAAAGAAGTTGCACAAGAACCTCAAAAGACCTGGCTGTATTAAAAAATGCCTTTCACTACATTTCTTCCAATAGGTACAAAAATGCCCTCTTTTGATTGGGCATTCTACATAGATTTGTACGCTAATCTATAAATTAATGCTTTAAAGGAGCTGATTAAAATGTTTTGGTTTTGTTTTATATTTCAAATCCATTCTATTACTTTTTCAACACTCTCCTATTTAGCATTATCTTCATTTATCTAGCCATTCTAGCAAATAAAGATCACATCTGTAGCTGAGCACAGTCGGTGTCAAACCAGCTTCTTCAACAACATATGTTATGATGTAGTCTTAATTCACACAGACATTATTTTTTCAATAGTATACCGACTCATTTGCCTCACTTTGAATGTTGCCCACTGAAACCAGTGACAACTCAAAATATCTTTTAATTTAACCATTGAATTTGTAATGGCCCACACAAATGCTAAACTGAAAACGATATTATTTATGATTTCACATATTTTTCCACTGCATTTACTATGATGATATCTATATGTTTTAATGCTTAAAGTAGATACATTAATGACTAAAAAACTTATGCTTGTCATTTGGAAGACCAACTTCCAACACAAGCAGATTTCTTCAGATTTCTTTGCAGGGGCAGTGTGTTTACAGATAAGTCACCAGATAATCAGTAGATCATGAAGCAATAGATCTTTTCTCCAGTTTTTTTATATGTCAGCATTATGGCTATGCTTTTCTCTCTCCCAGACACATTCACACCCCAGAAGTATCCTAGTTTTTAGTTTTCTTTTTTATTGTTTGGTGATTTACTTGAGATAAGTAATTCATAGGGCAAGGTTTATGTTTTGGGTTGGTTTTTTTTTTTTAATGCACCAATGGCTCTAAGTGCCAATTTTCTATAGGTAGTTAAAAGGATACCAGTTATTTTGTTCTACTTCCTTTATCACACTCTTGTGTGCAAAGAATTTTCTAGCTTTGTATATATTA